CCCCCCCCCCTGCGACAGACAGACGGCAAAAACTGCCTGCACCCGTGCGATAGATACGGACCACCTACCGAGCCATCCATCCATCCATCCGTCCATCCAGTCTATTCATTCGTTGATGCCAAAACAGATCCTTTCTTCCTTCGTTGAATGTTCAAGCTTGCCTTCCTTGCTCGCAGCAACCAACCGACCAACCAAGCGACGGGCAGCACAAACCAGATCAGCTTCACTCGTTCGTTAATTCGTCAAGTCTCCACGGCACGAGCCAGCCAGTGAGTGAGTGAGCCAGTGAGAGTATGGAATGGAAGAGAATGGGACATAGTATCTATCAACACAACAACACCTCACCAGCAGACAGACAGACAGACAGAGCAGCAACACTTGTGACCCACACCAACAGAGGAGTGGGAGTGAGAGAGAGAGAGACCGACCAACACCAATGCACGTATGTTTAAATAGGCTCCTCTCTCCTCCCCGCGTCTCCACGCTCCCCTCCCCTCTCTGTGTCATGACACACACACACATGCGGCCACATTCCCACCCCACTCACTGCCCGCCGATGAACCCCCGCGTGTGGCCGCTGCCCTCCCCCCCGTTGGCCAGTATGTCAGGGAAGTCAGGAGAAAACATCTGGAAATGCGAAAACCTCTTGGCCAGCTGGGGGCCTTCGCCAGCAACATCCCCATCGCCATCGCCACGCTCACCCGCATCGTCCTCTGCCCCACCACCCCCATGGCCGTTGCCGTCCCACAGGCTGCCGCCAGTGCCCCCAGACACCGCCCCCGCCCCCATCCGTGACACGCTCCGACAGCAGGGCGGGGGCCCCCAGATGTCGTAGTCCGACAGCAGCGGGCTGTGGCTCACCGATGCCTCCTCATCCCTCCCCTCCCTCACTGGCACCGGCACCGGCGATGGTGGTGCCACGGGCGGCACAACCACCTGAGCAGATGGATGCTGCCTGACGCTCTGTGGGTGGTGGTGGTGGTGGTCGTCCTTGCGCAGGAGGTATGAAGGGGGAGCGTGAGGGTGGTGGGGGGGATGGGGTATCCGGAGGCCGGCCATGTGTGTGGTCGGTTCCCAGCCGGTGAGGGGCGACCACGGCAGCAGCGGCAGGCCCCCATCGTCTCTGTGGATAGTCTGCGGCGACACCGACGATGTGGACGCGTTTGAGGGCGGGGGGAGCTTGGGCGACTCGGTGGAGGGAGCGGGGCCGTCCAGCTGCGGCAGCAACAGGGAGGGGGGCGGGTCGGACGGTGCCGCATGTGTGTGACCACCAGCACCACCACCAGCACCAGCGACACCGCCAGCAGCAGCAGTGTCGGCTGATATGGTTTTGTGTGGTGGCCGCGTGGGGGTGGGTGTAGGGGTAGGGGTAGGGGTAGGAGTGGGTGATGCCGACGCGGACGAGGAGGGGGGGCTGCTGGTGGTGCATGAGGAGGAAGTGTTGGACGACAGGCTCAACAGCGTCACCAGCCGGGTCAGCTCCAGCTGCTCCTGCTCATCAAGACACAAGCAACACGCAGCAAAAGGAAAGGACGGGAGGGATCAATGAGAGAAACTGCACTGCGTGTCTGTCTGTCTGTCTGTGTATGTGTGTGGGTGTTGTGTGCCTGTCTGGTCGGTTTGGTTAGTTGACTGGACTGACCAGTAGCTGCAGCCTGGCGTGCTCCCTGGCGGCTTCCCGCTTGGCCTTGCACGGCCGGGCCTTCTTCTTCTTCGGGTGCACGTGGTGGCCTGGTCGACAGACACAGCACACACAACACACACGCGTCAGTAACCAACCATATGTCTGTCCGTCGACTCGACATGTATGAGAATGTCTTACAGAATAGGCACTTGGCTCCGTTCCTGCAGCCCTTGGTGTGGACGAAGGCGCAGGGTTTGCATCCGCCCGACTCGTGTGGGATGCTGCCGATGCTGAGGAGCTCCCCGTCAGGGCCCCGGGGGATGCGCTGCAGCAGCTCGGGAGTCAGGCGGTCCACAGCCGTCCCGTGCGGCAGAGATGCCGCCATCGCAAGCTGTATCGCATCCGCCACACATACACGCGTACTTAGAGAGTTCCGTTGTCTGTCTGTCTATCACCTCACCGACCGACCTTATCAATGTCGTCATCGCCCCCCTCCTCGCTCGAGCTCGTCCCCTCCTCGACAGCGTCGCCCCTCCTGCCCCCCTCCCTCTCAGACGAGCCACTCTCACGCCGGGCCCCCTCGATACCGGGAGTCACACCCAACGGATCGTCACGCCCACTGCCGTCACCACCATAACCAGACCCGCAGCCATTGTTGCCACTGCCAATGCCGTTGCTGTTCGTCCGTGCGATGGGGTGGTGCTGCTGTATATGTGGTTCGAATCCTGGTGGTGGGGGGATGGCGGGTGAGAGTGTGCGAGGGGAGAGGGGCGGGGGCGGGGTGGGGGGGTCGAAGGTGCGGGTGCTGCGGGTGGACGTGTTGGACAGAGGCGAGTGCTGCGGGTGGACACACGGGATAAAATGATGAAGACAGAGCTGAGAGCTCACCCTGCCTGTCTGCCTGTTTGCCTGTCTGTCTGTCTGTCTGTCTGTCCATCAGTGCAGTGTGTGTGCTGCCTACCTGTTCGTTGCTCCTCGTCTGCCTCTGGTTGCTGGCGTCTTGTGCCGCCCCAGAGCCCTCCTGCCGGTCAGTCACGGACACCACCACCGCGCTGCTCTTGCTCTCGCCGACGCTGACGGCCCTGCTGCTGGCCGTGCTGTTGCTGTTGCTGCTGCTGCTGGCATTGGCACAGGGCTCGTGACTCCATTCCTTTGCAGCCCGGAAGGAGCGCATCGAACGGAGCCTCGCTGGGGCGCGGGAGGGGCCGGCACCGACCGGCCAGCTTGGCTGCTTGCGATGGCGATTGCTGCGATGGCGTTGTTGTGGATGGAAAAGGTCAGCCTAGCAACGGCTCGACCGTTTGAAGCTAAGCTCGCACTTGGGGAGTGTCCGCTCTCTATCTGCCCCTTTCGCATGTCGACTGCTGCGGAGGACCAAGCCACGAGCGTCGCCGAGCGCAACAGCTCAGATCCGCAGGCACCTGCGGCCAACGGGCCGCGAAATGCCTCCACAGCCTCACAGCCCATCCCAAATGGCGTCGACAGCAATGGCGGAGGTGGAGGGGGCAGCAGTGCCGCCATGCACACGGCAGCAGCGGGCGGCGACCGTGGTGCAGCTGGCGGGAGTGTGGCGGGGAGCGGTGGCGGCGGTGGTAGCGACAAGACGAAGCAGGAGTGGCAGCGCGTCAAACAGTGTGTGGACGAGAGCGTGGCCACCAAGCTCAAGCTGCTCAAGGTCAGAGAGATCAAGGGAGGGATGAGTACCTCTCTGGATGGATGGATGGGTTTGATGGCTGCACTGCAGCAAAAATTCAGTACGTTGTCGCCCGAGTTGATGGAGGTGCTGCAGGACATCGCGAGCGCCATCACAGAGGGACTCGAGGACGGCGTGGGGCAGGTACGCTGCGCTGACTGACTGACACGCTGACGCACGCATGACACACTCGGCACAGCACAGACAGACAGACCCGCCAACTCCCTCACGAGTGTGTGCATGCGGTCTCAGTTGTTAGCCGAGATAGCCGAGGAGCGGCAGAAGCTCGAGGTCGACCTGAGAAAAGTCGCAGGTTAGGTCGGGTCAGTGGGCGAGCGAGGTTGGACGGACGGCATCCGCGCGCACCACACAGCACATGACGCGACGGCCGTGTGTTGCTGACTGACTGCCTGATGTTGATGTGTGTGTGCAGGGACGACCACCATGGCGGTTCAGCACGTGCACAACCGCGTGAACGCTGTGCAGAAGGACATCAACAGAAGCCGCGTCAAGCTACAGGGTCAGGGCGGGG